AGGGAATAAAGAATCACAACTAGGGACTAGGGAGATGGCACACTGGATAAAAGGCCTGCCATGCAAACACGGGGCCGCGTGCTTAATCCCAAAATCCTTTGCAAAGAAAACGCCCAGATGTGGTGGAGTAGGATTGTAACCTCCAGCACCCAGCACCGAGGAGGCAGAGACAAGCAGATCCCTGGGGCTTGCTGGCCTGCCTGCCTGCCTGCAGGGAAATCTCCAAGCCAATGAGAGACTAGGTCTCAAAACAAACAAACAAACAAACAAACAAACAAAAACAGAAGACCCCACCAGTTGATGCCACCTGAGAAACAATAACCAAAAGTGTACACTGGCATCCATGTGTGTGTATCCACACTTCATACACATGTGGACCTGTACATGCATGCTCATGTGTACACACACACACACACACACACACACACACACACACACACACACAATTAATTATGACCCCGATTTTTTCAGTACTTCCACTCTGTACTTTAGGTAACTTCCAGAGGCAGGGGTAGGAGATCACAAGTTTAAGGTTAGCCTGAGTTACATCATGAGACCCTGTCTCAAACAAAGAAAGAGAAAAGAAAGAGAAGTTGCACATAATAAATCTGAAAGCCGGGACAGCAGACACATACAGACACTGTAATAGAAAACATATGAGGAATTAGGGATTTACATGATTCTTAATTGTCTGTTGAGCTCGTTTTTTGTTTTTTGTTTTTTTTAATCTTGAGCTGTAAACACTTTTCTATCAGATCCTTTATTTTTGAGCATCTGTGAACAACCCCCTGGCTCATCCTCCTTGCAGAGCAGGCTCTGTCATTGTCCTGGGAGATTCCAATACCCCTGGAGCCAACACGTCTGAGTTCTCACATCATTCCATCTATGCTCCTGACTATCCAGGGCATTGGCCACTAGTCTTGAGCAAGTTCTCTAGATACCTTACCTTGCAATACTCAACATCCTGTTCTTCATCCATTCTCCCATTTTTGTAATGTTCTCGGTTATCTCCGGTGAACCTTTTCTTTCTTTGCATGCTTTCTCTGAAGCGGTTAGTCCAACCCAGCCCACCCTTAAGGCTACCATTGGCCAAAATTTCTTCCAGTCATGCTGAGAATGCAAGATGATTCACCTGGACATTCTTTTAGAAGTTGTCATGACCTCTCTTCTGCAGTCTCCAAATCCCTGCCCTAAAAATCCTAGCCAGACAGTTTCATAGTCCAGCTTCTTCACCCTTTAGGCGGTGGTCACATTATATTCCAGTGGCTGAAGCATTTATGGTGCCATTCTTGTCCCAAGGAAGCACTGTCCTCGTCAATCCCCACGCTGGCCTCTCCAGTCCTTCACTACCCTCTTTGTACTTCTTATCACTTCCTTCGCATTATCGTCGGTAGTGCCCTGAAGTATGTCTTCAATTGTTCGGTTTATACATCACAAAATCCAGCCCACAACATGGACCTTTCAATATTCTCTCACACCCTCAACTTCTCTCTGTAGTACTTTTAGAGAAAAAGCCAGTTCTTCCCAGAGCTCCAGGCTTAATGGTTCTAACATCAAATGCCCCTGTTTCCTTTTCCTGTGTCTTTAACCTCTTCTCCTTTACCATCTATTCTTTGGATCTTAGAAACTTGGAAAGTTTCCTCAATAATCACAATAAAAGTAAGCCAAATAATTTGACCTGTATTTTCAAGGATGGACTTCTTGCCTTCCAACTTAAGATTCATCTTAACTCTTACCTATCAAGAACTGGTTTTTGTTTGCTTGGTTCCTTGGCTGGCAGCTTTATTTTTATTTTTTGACAGGACTTCACAATGCTTGGGTGCCTGAATCTATCTATTGAGATTATGGCATGGAAAAGAGACTTCTTTAACATGGGAATGGCCAAGGAACTTCATTTCATACCTTCTAAACAGTTACTCACTTGTCCAATCACTCTTGAGTGATTATGATTTGATTTTCACCTGCAGAATCTCTCACCCAGGAAAGAATATCCACAAATTCCGATCTGACATATCCAGTCAATACTTATATCCTTTATCCAAGTTTTCCTCCTCTTCAGGATCTATGTGACCTAGAGTCCCTTGTTTTTGCAAATTTTCTTTCCTCTCCTGCAAGGCCTTCCCATCTGAGTTTTCCTGGTTAGATCTCCTTTCTCTTCCTGTTTCTGGTGTTTCATAGGACTCTATGCTTCTCACTTCATCTTTTCTCATGGAGACCAGCTAGTGGCAATTGTGGATGGGCCAGATAGTTACTTACAGGCCACAGAAAGCATGTGCAACATGAAACAGAGGCCCAGAGCTTCAAGGTAGAGCAGCTCAGGAGTGTAAGCAAGATACTATGCTGTAGAGCAGATATCAAAGGACTGCTGGTAAGATAAACCTGGGGAAGCCAACAGAAGCAAAATCCAGCATGTTACAACCCTTGTCATCCTGACGAGTTTGTATTCTGTTCTTTTATCTGTCTGGTAGTCTTCTAGACCAGTGGTTCTAAACCTGTGGGTCACAAACCCTGACAGGGGTCACATATCAGATGTCCTTCGTATCAGATATTGACATCGCCATTCATAACAATAGCAAAATTACAGATATGAAATGGCAATGAAATAATTTTATGGTTGAAGATCAGCACAACCTGAGGAACTGTATTAAAGGAGTGCAGCATTAAGAAGATTGAGAATCACTATTCTAATCCCTTAGATACACTGAGACTGCTTTTCTGGCATATTCCACATCTTCAAATCAGAACTACTTTTTGATTCCAATATGAGCCTACTAATGTTTCCCCCATTACATAGAGACAAACCAAGTAAAAGTTGGCTTAATATTCAAGGTGGAAGAATGGGCAGATTTCTATATTCAGTTGGTCATAAGTGTTTCCAAGCTTTTGCCATTGTGACAATGGCATTTTGCCATTTTTAAAATTTTGAACTAATTATTTATTTGCTACGAGACAGGGTTGCTCTGTGTAACCACGGCTGTCCTGGAACTTGCGTTGTAGACCAGGCTGGCCTCAACTCAGATATCCATCCACTCTGCCTCCCGAGTTCTGGGACTAAAGGTGTGCACCACCACATCTGGCTGAGCTTTTGGACTTTTGTTTGTTTGTTTGTTTGTTTGGTTTTTGGGGTGTTTTAAATTTTTTTCACAATTTATTCATTATATATCCTGATTGAAGCACCTTCCCTCAAGTCCTCCTAGTCCCACCTCCTCTCCTTCCCTCTTTCCCCATCCCCTTACCCTAGTCCATTAAAAGGTGGAGTTTTCCTCCTTTGCCATCTGCCCATAGCTTATCAAGTTTCATCAGGACTGCCTGGATCCTCTTCCTTTGTGGCTGCTAAGGCCACATCACCAAGGGCAAGTGATCAAAGAGCAGGTAACTGAGTTCATGACAGAGGCAGCCCCTGCTCCCCTTATTCAGAAATCCATAAGGATACTGAGCTGCCAACTGGCTACATCTGAGCAGGGGTCTAGGTCCTCTCCATGGATGGTCCTCAGTTGATCCATAAGACTACCTGTACTCTGCCCAAAGTTTCTTTGTGAGTTTCAGCATCTATTTCAATTTCAAACCCCTGTTGAGTGGAGCCTTTCAGAGGACCTTCTATAGTAGGCTCCCATCCTGTTTCTTCTCTTCTACCAATTCTGTCATCTATCCTGTTTGTCATTCTGAATGAGATTTAAGCATCCTCCCTTGGGTCCTCTTTAGTGTTTAGCTTCCTTAGGTCTGTAGATTTTAGTATGGCTACCCTATATTATATGGCTAATATCCACCTATAAGTGAGTGTATACCATGCCTGTCTTTCTGTTTCTTGGTTACCTCACTCAGTATGACCTTTTCTACAACCACTTTGGAAATCAATCTGGTGCTTTCTCAAAAAATTGGGAATAGCACTACCTCAAGATCCACCTATACCACTCCTAGGCATATACCCAAAAGATGCTCTACCATTCAATAAGGACATTTGCTCAACCATATTCATAGCAGCTTTATTTGTAATAACCATAATCTGGAAACAACCTAGATGTCCCTCAATGGAGAAATGGAAACAGAAAGTGGTACATCTACACAGTGGAATACTAGTCAGCTGTTAAAAACAAGGAAATCATTAATTTTGCAGCCAAATGGATGGAACTAGAAAAGTTACATAACACTTTAATCTACAGTGTTTATACTTGGGAACTTTACAAGTTATAAAAGAAAAATAATCTTGTAATGATTTAAGCACATTCACTACTTTGTGGCGGACTTCATTCATAGTTTCCCATGCTGCTTGTGTCCCGTGATCTGCAGCTTGTGCATACCTACAAGCAAATAATGTCACTAGGATAGAGTGTTTGGTCTATTGGAATCCCAAGACACGTTTACAGTCAGAAGTGATCAGCAGAGTCATGGAGGTAAAAATCACCAGTTCTAGAATACAAACTAACTAAGGGTGGAAAGGAAGCTGTCCTACAGCAATGTAAGCATTATGAGAGCCACTACCCACAGGGCACAGCTCTCCTTGCAGGAGAACTTCACATGAGCACAGGAGCAGGGTCAAAATCATAACGACAATAGCTGAAAGACCACCTCCGGCTGTTCCCCTCCCTCTCCAGATGCCTCAGCTTTTATCTTACCTCATAAAAGTTGCCTCCATTTAGCCAGGTTCACTTCCTCATGAGGGGAAGCACTGAGAGGAACTCATGTCTGAAAGGTCAGTTATTTTTGTTTCTACCCTTATGGGGAAATTGGTTTTCCTTAAAACCTTATTCTCACAAGATAAACCTCCCAAGAATGTGTTCTCCCACGCTTTATGGGTTCTTGTAACTGAAGAGTGGACAGGCTTGTTCCTGGCAGCTTGAGTCCTTTTGGTGTTGAATGTGCCAATGGCCAAGCCCCACCTTTGTGTGCCTTCTCATGTGAATCCAATCCAACTGCCCAGGGGTCGGCCAGGATTTGAGGTGAAGGGAGAGGTAAATCTGTGAATGCAGCTATGTGTGATGAATCCTGCTTTCTCTCTGCAGCCTGCTGCCTCCCCAGAAGACACCCCAGAGCTCAGCGCCTTCTTAAGAAATGCTACGATTCCTCATCTGGTCAGGAAAAGGGATGTGCCAGCGGTCCAGCTCCACAGACAGAGCCCTGCAAAAATACTGGTGAGTTCTCACAGGCACAGGACTGTGGAAGACGTCTGAGTACAGGTGCTTTTAACTTCAGCCTGCCTTTCCGTCTCCTCCAGTGCTCAGATGCACCTGAAAGTTGGGGCAGCATGCATGGTGACACACGAACGCGACTCTTTTGTAAATGGTTTAAGGAGAGTTTGTAATATCAGCTTTACATTCCCCTAAGTCCACCACGGAGGCCACACAGAGAAATAGAGATAAAAACAAAGTGTGACCGTAAATCTATTCCAAGAATGTAAAAGAACAAAACAGGAGGATAGGCAGGAATAATATTCAACTATGACATCATACTGACTTTCATTATTTTTTAGATTAATTTGTAGAAATCAGTTTACCGTCATAAAGGTTCAGTGGTTGGCCCACCCAGAGGCCAACTGAGCTGGGTGGTTGGAATGAGTGCTGGGAGCCCCATCTACCCAGGGTGTTCTTATAGTTTATACCTATCCCTGACTCTCACAGGGCTTGGCTTCTTCAAAAACGGCAAGAACCTTTTGACCAGGGAAACCAAGTCAGCCTGCAGTTTGTATGCACCTTTATATTTATTTACGCACCGCTTACAAGAACCAAGTGACAGAATCAGCCTAGGGGCTTGTCAGCACATGAACTGATAAAGAAAATTTGATAGACATGGGCAAAGGAGCACTGTAACACCCTGAAGAAGAACAAAATCAAGTCATTTGCAGGAAAAAAAAATCAATGGAACTAAAGGACATCACATTAAGAAAAATAACCTATACAGAAAGCAAGAATTTCCTGGGTTTTTTTTCATATAAAATATAGAATATATAAAAAAAAAAGATCACCAGAAATCCCATCATCACCTTAGCAAGCCAGAAAACACCCAGGAACATGGGAGATACATGCCCACTTGGGAGGTAGAGGCATGGAGGTCAGGAATTCAAGGCTGCCTTTGGCTACATAGTAAGCGCAAGGCCAGCCTAGCCTACATGAGGACCTGAAATTAAAGTAGCAGAGAGACTACTGAAAAAAAGCATGATGAACTAAGACAGGGGGATAGAGGAGAGTAAGAGAGGGTAGTCAAGTAGGCAGATGAGACCGAAGTGTGATATCCTCATGCATGAAAAGCCAGGGTGAAATCCACCAGCAAGTACAATAAATATGCACCAACTTAAAAAAAACACACACAAGTAGCAAAAAGATGAAAAGAAAAAAATCAGCGTCATATTTATTAGAAACTCTGTTGTATTCCATTTCTATATATTAGTCAACATAAAAATAAAATCTCCTTACAGAAAAATGAATAGTGTGTTCAGGTTTCCTGGGCTGAAACATGGGGGTCTTGGTACCAAGGGGCTTTGCTGGGACTAACTTGATCTTAGTCAGGACTTGGCAGAACTGTCAGCACGAGTCAGCATTTTTGTGCAAGGCCCTTACCTATCACAAGGCTGATTCTGATCTTATCCCCACATATGTTCAGTCTCTGTCCTGCCTGACCACGTAGCAAAGGCTCGAAGCACCCTTCAGTTTATCAGCATTTCACAGACTAGGTCCATAAGGAGCAGTCAGCTACCAGTACATTCTCAAATTCTGCAGAAGTCAGAGACGACGCGAAATCCTATCCCCTTTTCTAGCATACCCAAGGACTTTGGGTAGGGACAAGCTGAGAGCAGAGGCCCCTTATCCACAGCTGCCCTGAAGAAGCCCAACTCGATATTCATTACCCATGATTTCAACTGGAGCTACATCCTTGAGCTAAGAACTGCCAATCCAAAGACACAAACAGAGAGGAGAGACACCTTCATCAAAAGGAACAAGTGAAAAGCGAGGGAAGGACAGCAGAGATACAACCCTGAGACAAAGAGAGTTCTACAGCTGTTTCCACAAGGGCCGTAGTCACTGTCCTGGCCGGGTGGGGATCCAGGACATCCTAAACCCACGCTGTTGGCCCTCTCCCAGAAATGCAGACTCTCTTGGGAACAACAGTGTGCTGACTCTCAGGCCTGCTTCCCTACCTGTCTAAAACCCACAGATGAGAACTGTGTGGTTTCCCCTTCCTTGCCTCCTCTAGGTGCAGTTCATCCAGGCTCGTATGCTCAGTGACTGTGTGAACAAATGACTCAGGTATGAATTCACTGAGCCACTGCTGATAGCTTTTGGAGTCATATCTCAAAGGCCCTTAGAATGCCACTCCCCAGCCTCTGTTCCTCCTCTCCTCTTCTGCCCTCAGTCCTCTTATCTCTCAACCCAATTATAAAAATTTCCACAGCACAGATTAAAAGATATTCTGGGTACTGACCAATTTCATTAGCCACCACACTCACTGAATTTAAATTTTGATGTCTATTCTAGCAGCACTTCAGTAAACCCCATTGTTCCAGCCAGTCATAAAAGTGAAATAATTCAAGGTTAAAGGGATCGAAGCAACATCCAAGGATTTGAGTCTCTGAGTTTAGCATTTCCACAATTGAAAGAGAAGTAATGACAAGTGTTACTTTTCTAAGTTACCGTAGCAACTTAGTAGAGGATTTATTTTTGTTCACAGTTTTAGTGACTTGGTTCATCACGTGCTCTGTTGGTTGCATGTGCCTGGGCATCACACCAGGGTGGCAGGGTGTATGGAAAAGATGAGCTGTCCATGCCCTCGCTGACCAGGACTCAGAGAATAGAGAATACCAGTACTCAGTGGGCTTTCTCCTTTGCCCCTTTTATTTATCTCGGACCACAGGATGGTACCACCCTCCTTTTGCCAGTGAACTTCTCCTCACAGGCATGTCCACAGGCGCACCTCACCAACCTCTTCGGGGACCGCAGATTTAGTCAGACAGTGAAGACTAATCACCACAAACCTCAGTTTACACAATTGAAATTTTGAAAGCTATAGTTTGCAGTCCATAAATTAGAACTTGGTGGTATGAATGAATGGTAATGATTGTTTGCTCTCGAACCAAAGTGGAGAATTCACTGGGTAGAAATAGCACCCCACTCCTTCAAGCAAATCAGGTAAGTGGAAGTTACTGAAGGGAGCAGAGAAGGGAGTGGGGAGAAGGGTTTTAACAAAGGAGGTTAGACTTGGACACAACTGGTGCACAAGCTAGGTCTGGGCAACCCACCATCCCGTTAGGCCATTTGCTTTATGGGAAAGATGCACTAGCAAGAAGGAAGCATTGTTCTGCCTATAATACGTGGGCTTTGGGATGGGGCATTGAGGTGAACATCCCTGCTTGCAGACTCTGTTTCTTCTGAGTTCTGAGCCCTGATCAGTTCTTTTGGGGGGCCACAGTCTTGGTGGTCAGCTGAGAGAGACACATGTGTGAGTTTTGAAGAAGACAAATGGGACAGCAAGTGGGAAAACAGGGAAAGCCCCGAATTGGCATCTGTTCTGTTCCTGTAGTTGTGTATTGACACTGAGTTAATTTTTAAGCTGGAGAAAAAATATGCAAAAGCCTGATAATCCTAACTACCTATTTCAGACCCCAAAAAAGTAGGACAATATTATTCCAAATCACAGTTCTAGCATTCCAGAACCTGTTGCCCATCACGTGGGTACCCTAACAGTAGTCAAGAGCATGGAAAGAGGATGATAGGTAACAGAGATGCAAATCCCAGCTGTGTATCAGTAAGAAAGCCTTCAAGAGGTGGAGTCTCAATCTGAGAGGATAGTTCTGTGGGTAGATGGTAGTGATGACAGCACAACTGGCCTGGATTCTTAAAGTGATGACAGGATTTTACAATTAGGTCTTAGGTCTGGGAGATGGCTCACCCGGAAAACTGATTTCCTGGCAATACTGAGACCCTGAGTTTGACACCCAGAACCCACATAAAATAACTGAGTATGGTGGTGAGCATTAACCCCAGTACTGAAGAGACAGACATCCCCAGGGCTCACTGGCCAGCCTAGAATCTTGGCAAGTTATAGGTCAGTGAGAGACATTGTCTCAGCATAGAAGGTGGGCAGTGCTTGAGGAATAACACCAGAAGGGACCTCTGGCCATCCATGCATGTGCACAGATGTGTGTGTGTACTTACACACACACACAAACAAACACACACACACACACACATACACACCCTAGGTCTTAACTTCTGATAGCTATCTATTTCTTAACAGGAAAATTCAAGCATGAAAATGAAAAGTACAGGAGAATTTAACCCCAAGGTTATTTACACTTAAGGAAAAAGCACCTGAGATACAAGAGAAAAAGCTACAATAATCAGCAGTTTATGATTCAAGTACCTGTACATTTGCAAAACCATCCAAAGGCTTCAAAATGTTAGAATAGGCAATCAGTACACAGTCCTTTTTAGAATAAATTAATAAAACTGTGTGTTGTCATTGGTAAAATCTGACATCCGTAAAAGTGAGTAGAGACCATCAGAAAACCAATATCCAGACTTCTGAAGAACTAAACATTTGTAAAAACAAGATTCAAATTCCTGTTATAAATGTCTACTTTATGTGTGAGTCTTGAGTGCAAAAGCAGTAGAGATCTATAAATGGTATTCTCTTGAAAATTGTATGCATTTGTGTTGTGGGTCTAATTTTGTCCCTTTTGCTATTTCTCACTAAATATTTTAACATAAATTTCAACTTTTAAATATTGTGGGAGCATTTTATTTGCAAACGATTGCCAAAACAGTCATTAGTACCTTATCTGATTTCAAACTCATAATACATTCTCCTTTTCTCCTATTGGTTCAAAAACTACAAACCTTGCAATACCCACCCATGTCCTTGAATCAGACAACTCTGAGGAGAGGGTGATTATGCAAAGTTTACTCTAAAATCAAAAGCTAAAGAAGACCTCCTACAGTTTTTGTTTGGTTAAAACAAAGCACTGAATCCCACTCCTGATTAGGAATTTGTAAGTTCAAAATGCCAACATCCTGTGCTGGGATCATAATTTCCAGTTTGCATGTTTAAAAATGTGTATCTCTAACACAGAAACTTACTTATTCTCCCACCTAAGAGCCATCTTTGCCTGCTGCGCCTCAGGTCCTTGCTGCTTTTGGCATGGTTAACTCCAAACTTGGCTCCCTTTGTGCCTTTGAAGTGACATTGACTCAAGGGCTTCTTCTGCAAAGCCTTCCAGGTTTTTCCGGTGTCTCTGTCATCTCTGAGAAGCACGTTCCCAAACCCTGAGAAAAGGAAAGAGTGCTCCCTAGCTGCTACACAGAGATGGAGCCCTAGCAGAAGAGCGTGCATTAACGTACTTACCATCCACTTTTCCGTCAACAGGAGAATCAGTGTCTCACCGTTGCTAACTGTTCTTTGTGTCAGTTATTTCAGTGGATTTGTTCTTTCCCTAAATGTAATGGAGTGAAGTAGACTTGTCGGCAAGGTAATGTCTTCTGAGAAAAGAGAGTGATTTCAGTGTTGACTCTTTCCCTCTGTTCAAGACACTAATGCTCTGCCCCTGCCTTTGCATTTTGCAGAACTGTACAAATATCGAGTGCTTGCAAATCTCTTGTGCAGTGGGACGGCTGGGAGGAGGAGAGAGTGCAGTCCTGAAGGTCAGATCGAGATTGTGGGCCCATACTTTTCTCCAGGTAACCATGGCGCTGACTGGCAGCTTACACGCCACTCGCCCAGAACCTCCTCCCAAGAGCTCAGCTCTACGCCCCTTGGCGTGAATTTTTCATACATGTGTGTATGTGCATAAGTGTTATTAATGTTGCTGTGTATTTGTGGACACACACTAGTGGGAGGCCAGAGGTCTCTACCCTCCTTTCGGAGACAGTCTGTCACTGAACCTGATGCCCACCAACACAGCTAGGCTGGCTGGCCACCTCTCCGCACAGCCCTCTACCTTTCCCACCAGCACGGGCATGGCAGACATGCACCGCTATACATGGCTCTGTATGTGGCTCCAGGAGACCCAGGCTCCGCATCTCATGCTTGTGAAGCAAACAGGTTACTGATGTGGTATCTCCCCAGCCCTGATTATTCTTTTTTTTTTTTTTTTCATTTTTTCATTTTAATTCTTTTAGGTTTTAAATTCAAAGATTTTAATTTTTAAAATTCAAGAATATAACTATTTCAAAGGAAATATCTTTGGAAGAGATGAACCAAGATCAATTGGTGAAGAGAATGAACCTCAACTTGCATGTGCAAACACAGATACACACACACACACACACACACACACACACACACACCACTCCCCACCTCAAAGCTCAGTAAACTTCCCTGCCACACAGATAGAGATAGGCAAAGCAGCAAGCAATCTTCAGATCCAAAAGGTCCAAACTCCACTGAGATGTTTGCCTGTGTTGAATTGCTGCCATCTAGGAGGAACTTTCTAGAACGAACTTTACTTCCTGGTCGCCTCTCCCAGCAGGAAAACAAACAAACAAACAAACAAACAAACAGTTTGAGTATCCTGAGTCCCTGAGAATCAGATGACAGACTTAGCTCATTGCTGGATGGGCGGCCGGAGACAGTGTAGGACCTGTGTGGAGATACAAAAGTTGTCCAGAAAACTGAACAAAAGGAACCGAAAAGAAAGAAATCGCAAGACTGTTCTAGAAAGCTCCTTGTGCATGTGTGTCTGTGTGTGCCTTCAAGCTGAGGTCAACTGTCTTCTCCAGTCCTCTTTATTTGTTGAGTCAGAATCTGTTGCTGAGTCTGAGCGCTTGAAATCCAGCTAAGTCTAGCTACTCACCTTGCTCTGGGGATGCCCGTCTCTGCCTCTCAGGTGCTAGAATCGCAGACGGCCACACACCTGCCTGGCTCCCCTATGCGGAGGGAATGTGCTGTCTCGTGCTCTCAAGCAAGCACTTCATCCACTGAGCCATCTCCCAGCCTGACTTAAGTCTCCTTACACCAAGAAAATGAAATTCAATTAAATGATACCGCTGTGTTAACACCTTATTGTTTGGGAAAATTGTAAATTACTCTTATCTTGCTCATATTTTACCTCCTAAACTAGACAGATTTAGCTGCCTCATCCGAAAAAGAAAATCCTTTTGTCTACTTATTAAAATAGGATTTGAAGTCTCTGGATCTTTATCTTTTCTATGATTGAAACTATCAGTAATCCCACCAATCTTTTCTAACTTTTCTCATAAAGCAAACAAACAAGAGGAAGAAAATTTTTCCCACTTTCAGTGCATCTTATTTAACATGGACTGCTTTATAGGTCACTATCACTATAAACACTACATTATGGATGAACCAGCTGTAGCTCAGAGAGACTAATCAGCTGGCACCCCAGCTGTGCAGGGTTAAACCAGGCTTCTTTAACATGCCCTGCACTGCCAAGGCTACCGCAGAAAGAGGGTGTCCTGAGGCCAGTACTGAGTTGGAGACCAGCCTGAACCAAATCACAAAGACCCTGTGTCAAAAAAATATATTTTTTTTTCAAGATCCTACTTCAAAATATCAAAGCTAAAGGTATATAACTCAGTGATAGGGCACTGTTCTAATATGTACAAGGATGTGGGTTCAATCCCAGGCAACATACATACAAACATACACTACACACACACACACCACACACCACACACACCACACATTCACACATATGACATTACCACACATACACTACATACATACCACACACACACAACACACACACATACACACACACCACCAGAAGTCCTAAGCCAGTGCAGTGGAGATGTAGGTCCCCTGGGGTGCTGAGGGAGAAATTATCCTCTACCTTCCCCCTTGGCCTCCATTACGTTGTAAACATCACTCTCACCTCGGTTGCTATATCACCTCATTCATGTCATTCATGCCCGTGTCTTCTTTGTCTTCTTGTGAATGGTACAGTAGTGTGTATAAGGCTTTGTGTGTGTGTGTG